CCCGCCCCCCGTGGCCGCCCCAGCCGGGGCCGTCCTGCCGAAACGTGGGCACAACTTGCCTGCGTCTTGCATTTAAGAAACGAAAAGGAAGGATTCTGGGACTTTATGCGCCATTTCCGACTTGTAAGGTTTGAGGTTTCACTATAACAGGACGCGCCGGGTCAGCCGCGCAGACGGTACCTGGGGCCCGTGTGTGGACGCGCTCGTGCCCTGAGCCCCCGCGGGCACCTCCGCGCCCCCCGCCCCGGTGCCGCCGCACTGTGTGCAGGTGTATGTGCAAGTGTGTGCGTGTGCAGGTGTATGTGCAAGTGTGTGTGCGCGCAGGTGTGTGGGTGCCTGTGCGTGCAGGTGTGTGCGCAGGTGTGTGGGTGTGTGGGTGCCTGTGTGTGCAAGTGTGTGTGCAAGTGTGTGTGCAGGTGTGTGTGTGCGTGCAAGTGTGTGTGCGCGCAGGTGTGTGTGCAAGTGTGCGTGTGCAGGTGTGTGCGTGCAGGTGTATGTGCAAGTGTGTGTGCAGGTGTGTGCGTGCAGGTGTGTGTGTGTGCAGGTGTATGTGCAAGTGTGTGCGTGTGCAGGTGTATGTGCAAGTGTGTGTGCGCGCAGGTGTGTGGGTGCCTGTGCGTGCAGGTGTGTGCGCAGGTGTGTGGGTGTGTGGGTGCCTGTGTGTGTAAGTGTGTGCGCAGGTGTGAGTGGGTGAGCAAGTGTGTGGAGCCCGTCGGGGGCTGGGATGGCGCCCTATGAGGACAGATGTCCGTTTGGAAAGATGGAAAGTTCTGGGGATGGGGTGCTGACGTGAATGTGCTGAATACCAGTGAACTGTACTCTAAACAGGTTCAGAGGGTGCCTTTTAAATAATGTGCATTTTGTAATCGTTATAATAATAATAATGGGACATTGAGAGTTGAGTCCTGGGCCCGGGGCGGCTGGGAAACAGCTGAGGGCCCCTCCAGGGAGCTGGGAGGATTCCTCTGTCGCCCCCTCTTTGGAGACAGGCCATCCCCCCACTTCCCATGCCCCGTCCCAGGGGATGGATATACAATGGTTACCTGCAGGGGGCGCCACAGGCCCGCACACCTGCCTGTCGCCTCCGCCTCTGCCTCCTGCGGGCTTGGCTGGTCTGGGCCTCACAGGCGCTGCTGGTGGGCGAATCCTGGGCTCAGAGCCTCCCTTAAAGAGGAGGCCACTGTGGTGTCAAGAAAATGTTCTTTTAAAACCATTTATAAGCCCTGACCGGTTTGGCTCACTGGATAGAGCGTCGGCCTGGGGACTGAAGGGTCCCGGGTTCGATTCCGGTCAAGGGCATGTACCTTGGTTGCGGGCACATCCCCAGTAGGGGGTGTGCAGGAGGCAGCTGGTCGATGCTTCTCTCTCATCGATGTTTCTAGCTCTCTATCCCTCTCCCTTCCTCTCTGTAAAAAATAAAATAAAATATATATTTAAAAAAAAAACCATTTATAAGTAAGAAAAATTGCCAAACAGACACCATGGTAGGAGTCCGGAGGGGAGGCCCTCGGTCACTGACACGGGGATCTGACCCAGAGAACTGTGAGCGGGGGGAGGGGGAGAATGCGGGGGAACCAGGGACGGGGGGCTGCACCCCAGGAAGGAGCAGGTCCCGTCAGGGCGCAGGCCCAGGTCGATCCCCCGTGTGGGGCGTGCAGGTGGCAGCCGATCCATGACTCTCTCTCATCATCGATGTCTCTCTCTCCCTCTCCCTTCCTCTCTGAGATCAATTATATGCGTAACCTCCAGGCTGACAGGTATTTTTCTGCAGACGTTCCCAACGTGTCTTCGCGGCTTCACACCGCGTGGGACTCCTCTCACCGTGCCCTCCTCCTGTCCAGGAGTCTCCGTTCTCCAGCCACTTTGAAGGGGTCTCCTTGATCCGTAGTTGGGGCAGTAGGTGTGCCCTGACTTGATGGGGGTTTGTCATGGTCCTGGCCACTGGGGTTCCTGGAGCCGCTTTAATCTGAGATTCAACTTCCGGAGCGATGGTCTCGGGGCGCTGGTCTGAGGGTCACGGAGAACATGTCTTAGGGTGACTGGGTGGTGAGAGGATGTGGGGGGGTGACTCAGGGGCTGTGTGGGTGGGCCTCACCGAGACAGGGCCCCGGGAGATGGCAGCCTCAGTCCCAGAGTCCACCTCCTCTCAGCCTTCACCTGCCCCCGCGGCCCGGGGTGGGGGGCTCCTCTGACCCCTGCTCCCAGCCTTCAGTCCCCAGGGCAGCGTTCAGCTGGCTCTCCATCCACGGGGCCAGGAAACCCCAGGAGCTGGTCCCAGCTGCGGCTGCGGGAGGACAGGGCAGAGGCCCCCCCTCGGCTCTCGGGGCGTGTCTGCCGGAGGGACTGTGCCCAGGTGCTTGCTGACACTCCACACACGTTAGTGGCCCCATCAGGTGGACTCAGCTCCGTGGGCCTCGCGCCCATCCATGGAGTTACCACCACTGATACCGCGAACGTGGAGCGTTTGGGGTTGGGGGGTGGGGAGATGAACAAGGAATTCTAGTACCTTCCGGGAGCCAGGAGCCCGAGCCACGGTGACAACTCTGATCCGTGTGGGACGCACTCGAGGTTTTAATTTCTGCACCTGGTGCAACAGTAGATTCACAGGATGAACACGTGTTGCAAGTCACAGCTTTCCTAGGCTCCCAACTTTCCGCGAAGGGAGACAGCGTTTGGGGGGTTTTGCATTTGGTGGCAGCGCCGGCCGGCCCTCGTGGACGCTGCTGTACCGCGGAAAGGGTGTCTCGGTTTCAGGCCTGCGGCGCGGCCCTGGGATTCCCTAACGGGAGTGACCTGCTGGGCACTGGCTTGAACATGTGTCTTTAAAGTTCACTCCAGTGGAAAATACGCGGAGGGGACGTCGGCGAAAAGACCTGAATTTGAACCAAAGTTCTGCCAGAGGCAGTAAGATGGCGAGGCCTTGGCCTGGCCAGGGGGGTTCAGCCCCACTCAGCCCTGAAAATGAAGCAAAAGGCTTTTTGCACACTCCAGAGGACGAGCGGTTCCCTGATGGCTGGGGTGTTTTTATGCTCCTGTTTTGTAATTTGCATTTTTATTTGTCACCAGTAGCCCTGCGATGAAAAGCCGCCTGTGCCCCAGGAGGCGGGCTCAGAGGCTTTGATGCAGCTCCCACGGTTGTGATACCAAGTTGCTCTCATAAATATTGTATCCGTTCCTCCCTTGGAGAGTGTGTCAGAGGCCTCCTCAGCCGCTGCGGGAGCGTGGGATTATCACACTTGTAATCGTGGTCACCTCAATAGGTGAAAAAAATCATCTCATTATCATCATTGGTAACGTTTTGGGTGCTAGTGGAGGCCAAACAGATGGTGGCGGTTATCTTTTTAAAATAAATTGATTTCAGAGAGGAAGGGAGAGGGAGGAAGAAACATCAGTGGTGACACAGATTCACTGATCGGCTGCCTCCTGCACGCCCCCTGCTAGGGGTCCAGCTGGAAACCCTGGCATGTGCCCTGACCGGGAATCGAACGCGGGACCTCTTGGTTCATAGGTCAAAGCTCAACCCCTGAGCCACGCTGGCCGGGCGGTGGCGATTCCCTCTGGAAGTCAACCATTTGAAATGTCCCCGTTTCAGAGTATTTCATGTTATAATTTGTAACCGGAGGTTTATAATGAAGTTGGAGGAGATATTGAAGCCGGTACCCAACTTCGGGCAGAGGACAGCTCTCTGAACAGGGGCCCTGGCGTCTGCTGACAGCGATGACGGTCCAGGCAGGCGCGGCTGCAGGAAGGCCGCCTGCTAATTCCCGGTGACATTGGTGCCAACAGCTGGGCTTGCCGGTTGCTACAAGTTGATACGTTTGTTTGTCCTGTGGTTTTGACTCGCTATAGACGGTGAGTGACTTTCGCCACAATCTCTCAGCAGAATGAAGTTGCCACATTCTTCCAATTAATTAACCATCACATTTAATTTCACACTCCAAAGATTTGGAATAGCTCCTGTTTGCGAAAATCACCATCGCAAAGAATTAAACAGAATGTTTAAAGAACCAGCGTGTAGTATTGTCAATTAAGTCTGGGCTAACCGTTAATAAACATAACACAGTGTGGGAAGCCATCTGCCGGGCTCGGCCGCCGAGGGGGCCCCCGCCTGCCGCCGCCTGGTCTGGGCGCGGGGACTGGACGCGCCTGACCTCCAGGAGGCGGCTGGCGGGAGTGGCCACTCGCCTCAGAGC